GCAAATGTCATAATATATTATAATATAATCGCAAAACAGTATGAGTAATCACTAGTAGATACTCACAGGCTCTACTTCATCAGCAGGTTTTGGTTCTTCCCTGACGGTGTTGGCCCGTGCTAGTTCCTCAGTTAAGTACGCGTTTGTGTGTTGTGTCACGAGGAGATGCGATAGAATGTCCGTGCCTGCAGTAATATTATATTAGAACAACAACGTTTTTCATACAGAATTGCAAATATTTACGAACTGTATACAATTTTTGAGTCGTGAAAATAAAATCTGTTAATACTTGTTTAATTTAACGATGCCGTCTGGGGATTAAAATATTAATATTTTATTAGTTACTATAGTAATTGGGTATTTGTATATTTTATATTGATCTATATATGGTGCTGGTCTAACAGTTACATAGTTAGTTATAAAATTTATAAAAGAAAATGAAAATATACTATATTAATTGATATCCTATAAACAGTGTAAACTGACTTATGTCTGTAGAGTATTCGCAGACGCAGTATAGCGTGGGAGCGGGTCTAGGAGCGGCCTCCAGTGAAAGTGAGCCGGCGCAATATCCACTGTGTCTCAACATCGCTCGGTAACATGATGTAGCATATGGACACTTGCTGCGCGACGTGCGACCGCTGTATATTGAGAATATTAAAATTATACTTTAGTATGTATCAAACATTTGGTATATTATTTGTCTAATCTTTCTTCATTAGAAAATATAGAAATATTAAAAAGATGATATCACAATATAGTAAGGGCTACTAAAATAACATTTTTTTTTTTGTAAAAGTTAATGATTGTTTTCAACACGATAAAGGAAAAACTACGTCTCTTTACTGACATTCAATAAATCTGATTGTATTCAATGTTTGCAGCGTCGTTTTATCAAGTGGTTATACTAACAGGAAGTGTTTGTCACTGTCAAGCGGCGTGTCACACTCGCGACACAGAAGACCCTCTTGTATGACCAACGTGACACCTTCATACGTGTCGCTGATGGCGTGACACGCGACGTCCTTGATGGGAGGGCGGGCTTTGTTCTGAAAATAATATATTATTATGTAATTGCAGTTTGTTAATTGTAGATAAATAAGTAGCAGTATATACAAGTAGCAGTAGAGTTATATGACGTACATATCTTGGGCAGGTTAATCAAGTGCTCAGTAGAACACAGAGGTAGAACCTCCTCGAACGGGTTGTGGTCTCGAATCTGATGCTCTTTCAGTTGATCTGAAAAATATTATACGTATCAATGTGTGTATTGAACTCATTTTATTGTAAATGAAACTAATATTTTTCGGATATACTACGCGACTTGATTTTTGATAAAAACTCCCGACGCTGACGCTTGGTTGCTAACAAGTAACCGAAACGTCGGATGTATATATAATAGTTTTTAAAATAATAAAATACGCGAAACAGTCCGAAAATATTAGTTTCATCTGTTTGTATTATAGTACTTACAGTTGTATTATTCACCGAGACGTACGAATCTCAGCACACATCTCGTACATTTAATCTCCAGCTCCTTGTCCTGGTGTTGTTTGAGATGATCCATGTAGAAGAGCACGTTGGCCGTCAGCTCACAGCCTTCAGCGTACACTGGAATCATCTGAAGACAGATATACGATGATTTTAATTTCTTCTACGTAGTATACTATTTGATGTGACCTCTTAAAATTAATATTGAAACTGAAATAAATGAATTCCTCCTTACGAAACGCATGTTTATTTAAGCCGTTTTTCAAATTACTTTAAGAGTTTTGAATAAAGAGCAAATATGTTCTATAAAATGGTTATTAAGACATGAAAATTTTATTTTGATTTTATGTGACATGAAAATTTGGTTTATTTTGTTAAAACTAGGCACTATTTAAGCTTATTGAGCTATCGTGCCTCGCGCCTGAGCGGCAAATGTCATAATATATTATAATATAATCGCAAAACAGTATGAGTAATCACTAGTAGATACTCACAGGCTCTACTTCATCAGCAGGTTTTGGTTCTTCCCTGACGGTGTTGGCCCGTGCTAGTTCCTCAGTTAAGTACGCGTTTGTGTGTTGTGTCACGAGGAGATGCGATAGAATGTCCGCGCCTGCAGTAATATTATATTAGAACAACAACGTTTTTCATACAGAATTGCAAATATTTACGAACTGTATACAATTTTTGCGTCGTGAAAATAAAATCTGTTAATACTACATACTTGTTTAATTTAACGATGCCATCTGGGGATTAAAATATTAATATTTTATTAGTTACTATAGTCATTGGGTATTTGTATATTTTATATTGATTTATATATGCTGCTGGTCTAACAGTTACATAGTTAGTTATAAAATTTATAAAAGAAAATGAAAATATATTATATTGATTGATATCCTATAACCAGTGTAAACTGACTTATGTCTGTAGAGTATTCGCAGATGCAGTATAGCGTGGGAGCGGGTCTAGGAGCGGCCTCCAGTGAAAGTGAGCCGGCGCAATATCCACTGTGTCTCAACATCGCTCGGTAACATGATGTAGCATATGGACACTTGCTGCGCGACGTGCGACCGCTGTATATTGAGAATATTAAAATTATACTTTAGTATGTATTAAACATTTGGTATATTATTTGTCTAATCTTTCTTCATTAGAAAATATAGAAATATTAAAAAGATGATATCACAATATAGTAAGGGCTACTAAAATAACATTTTTTTTTTTGTAAAAGTTAATGATTGTTTTCAACACGATAAAGGAAAAACTACGTCTCTTTACTGACATTCAATAAATCTGATTGTATTCAATGTTTGCAGCGTCGTTTTATCAAGTGGTTATACTAACAGGAAGTGTTTGTCACTGTCAAGCGGCGTGTCACACTCGCGACACAGAAGACCCTCTTGTATGACCAACGTGACACCTTCATACGTGTCGCTGATGGCGTGACACGCGACGTCCTTGATGGGAGGGCGGGCTTTGTTCTGAAAATAATATATTATTATGTAATTGCAGTTTGTTAATTGTAGATAAATAAGTAGCAGTATATACAAGTAGCAGTAGAGTTATATGACGTACATATCTTGGGCAGGTTAATCAAGTGCTCAGTAGAACACAGAGGTAGAACCTCCTCGAACGGGTTGTGGTCTCGAATCTGATGCTCTTTCAGTTGATCTGAAAAATATTATACGTATCAATGTGTGTATTGAACTCATTTTATTGTAAATGAAACTAATATTTTTCGGATATACTACGCGACTTGATTTTTGATAAAAACTCCCGACGCTGACGCTTGGTTGCTAACAAGTAACCGAAACGTCGGATGTATATATAATAGTTTTTAAAATAATAAAATACGCGAAACAGTCCGAAAATATTAGTTTCATCTGTTTGTATTATAGTACTTACAGTTGTATTATTCACCGAGACGTACGAATCTCAGCACACATCTCGTACATTTAATCTCCAGCTCCTTGTCCTGGTGTTGTTTGAGATGATCCATGTAGAAGAGCACGTTGGCCGTCAGCTCACAGCCTTCAGCGTACACTGGAATCATCTGAAGACAGATATACGATGATTTTAATTTCTTCTACGTAGTATACTATTTGATGTGATAGCTTTTTGAACGATCTTAACAAGGTAGATAGCCAACTGATAAGTAACGTCAAAAAAGCGTGGATCTACGAGAATTACTTAACTTCACGTTTGAATTGGCCTTTCCTCGTCTATGATTTTAATAAAACCCTTTTGTCAAAGTTAGATGCAGGCGTCATAAAGATGTTGAAGTTGTGGCTCGGGCTCGCTCTAACGGCTGATTCATCGGCGTTATTTAGGGGAAGCAATAGTTTTGGGATGAGTCTAAAAAGGCCATCGGAGCTCTATAAACACCTAAGAGTTTCCAAGAGATACATCCTGGGGAAATCCCATGATGACATAGTGACATCGCTCCCAAAAGGTGAAGATGCCCCCGAGCTAGAGTCACGACTTCAATTCCATAAGCAATTTATGATAGGAGCGCAAAGTAACAGAGCGGGGTTAGGATCAAATAGGAAAGTCCAAGATGCGGATATATTGAAGTCTTTTATTCGGCAAGACGAGAATGATAAATATAAGATCCATGCAATGAATTTAGAAATGCAGAACGAGTGGTTAGACATAGGAGATTTTTGCATCCCATTGGCATTAAAATGGCGCACTTTAATTTATGATTGGTCGCCAGCATTGCTAAAATTCTATCTCAATGCGTTCCAGATGACTCTCCCAGATCAGAGTAATTTAGTAAGATGGGGTAAAAGTACCGAAAAAACTTGCTATATCTGTGGAAAGGCAGTTGGAACTGCTAAGCATCTGCTAGTGGGATGTAAGGTACTCCTTGACAGCGGTCAATACTCGCGTCGTCACGATAGGGTTCTAGAAGTCATACGTGAAGCGGTTAGTCTTTCGGTAGCCAGAGCGCAAAAGGGAATAACCACAAACGAACGATCAGTAGGTTTTGTGAGAGAAGGCTCTAGGGCTACAAAATCAAACGTCAAGCCTTACTCCATCCTTAAAGCGGCGTCGGATTGGACTATAATGATGGACACGTATGAAAAACAATATAAAATCCCCGAGGATATTTGTGCGTCGGCCTCCAGACCGGATATATTTTTGTTTTCGCGAATTTTAAAGCGCGTAGTGATGATAGAGCTTACGGTCCCTTGGGAAACCAACATCCCCAAAGACCATACCATCAAGGTCAATAAATATTACGAGCTCACAAACGAACTCACTCGAAATAGGTTCGTAGTAGATTTGTACGCGGTAGAGGTGGGAGCGAGAGGTATAACAGCGAAATCTCTCTATAACCTACTAAAGGACTTGGGCTTGTCCAGAACTCACATTAATGCATTCTTGGAACGTACATCGAAGGCAGCCCTAGTAGGTTCTTTTCAAATTTGGTTAGGTAGGGAGAGGAGCTTGGACAGTGGAGGTGAGCGTATAACGCGCGTTAGTTAAGGGGCCCCTTAAACCTACACTTGGGTCGCAAGTCCCAGGCACTGTTGAAGCTCCTCCCCCTGCAACGCGATGGACCCGGCACCCGCACGGTGAATCCATGGAATGCTGAGAAGTTTCGTCTTAAAATTAATATTGAAACTGAAATAAATGAATTCCTCCTTACGAAACGCATGTTTATTTAAGCCGTTTTTCAAATTACTTTAAGAGTTTTGAATAAAGAGCAAATATGTTCTATAAAATGGTTATTAAGACATGAAAATTTTATTTTGATTTTATGTGACATGAAAATTTGGTTTATTTTGTTAAAACTAGGCACTATTTAAGCTTATTGAGCTATCGTGCCTCGCGCCTGAGCGGCAAATGTCATAATATATTATAATATAATCGCAAAACAGTATGAGTAATCACTAGTAGATACTCACAGGCTCTACTTCATCAGCAGGTTTTGGTTCTTCCCTGACGGTGTTGGCCCGTGCTAGTTCCTCAGTTAAGTACGCGTTTGTGTGTTGTGTCACGAGGAGATGCGATAGAATGTCCGTGCCTGCAGTAATATTATATTAGAACAACAACGTTTTTCATACAGAATTACAAATATTTACGAACTGTATACAATTTTTGCGTCGTGAAAATAAAATCTGTTAATACTACATACTTGTTTAATTTAACGATGCCATCTGGGGATTAAAATATTAATATTTTATTAGTTACTATAGTCATTGGGTATTTGTATATTTTATATTGATTTATATATGCTGCTGGTCTAACAGTTACATAGTTAGTTATAAAATTTATAAAAGAAAATGAAAATATATTATATTGATTGATATCCTATAACCAGTGTAAACTGACTTATGTCTGTAGAGTATTCGCAGATGCAGTATAGCGTGGGAGCGGGTCTAGGAGCGGCCTCCAGTGAAAGTGAGCCGGCGCAATATCCACTGTGTCTCAACATCGCTCGGTAACATGATGTAGCATATGGACACTTGCTGCGCGACGTGCGACCGCTGTATATTGAGAATATTAAAATTATACTTTAGTATGTATCAAACATTTGGTATATTATTTGTCTAATCTTTCTTCATTAGAAAATATAGAAATATTAAAAAGATGATATCACAATATAGTAAGGGCTACTAAAATAACATTTTTTTTTGTAAAAGTTAATGATTGTTTTCAACACGATAAAGGAAAAACTACGTCTCTTTACTGACATTCAATAAATCTGATTGTATTCAATGTTTGCAGCGTCGTTTTATCAAGTGGTTATACTAACAGGAAGTGTTTGTCACTGTCAAGCGGCGTGTCACACTCGCGACACAGAAGACCCTCTTGTATGACCAACGTGACACCTTCATACGTGTCGCTGATGGCGTGACACGCGACGTCCTTGATGGGAGGGCGGGCTTTGTTCTGAAAATAATATATTATTATGTAATTGCAGTTTGTTAATTGTAGATAAATAAGTAGCAGTATATACAAGTAGCAGTAGAGTTATATGACGTACATATCTTGGGCAGGTTAATCAAGTGCTCAGTAGAACACAGAGGTAGAACCTCCTCGAACGGGTTGTGGTCTCGAATCTGATGCTCTTTCAGTTGATCTGAAAAATATTATACGTATCAATGTGTGTATTGAACTCATTTTATTGTAAATGAAACTAATATTTTTCGGATATACTACGCGACTTGATTTTTGATAAAAACTCCCGACGCTGACGCTTGGTTGCTAACAAGTAACCGAAACGTCGGATGTATATATAATAGTTTTTAAAATAATAAAATACGCGAAACAGTCCGAAAATATTAGTTTCATCTGTTTGTATTATAGTACTTACAGTTGTATTATTCACCGAGACGTACGAATCTCAGCACACATCTCGTACATTTAATCTCCAGCTCCTTGTCCTGGTGTTGTTTGAGATGATCCATGTAGAAGAGCACGTTGGCCGTCAGCTCACAGCCTTCAGCGTACACTGGAATCATCTGAAGACAGATATACGATGATTTTAATTTCTTCTACGTAGTATACTATTTGATGTGACCTCTTAAAATTAATATTGAAACTGAAATAAATGAATTCCTCCTTACGAAACGCATGTTTATTTAAGCCGTTTTTCAAATTACTTTAAGAGTTTTGAATAAAGAGCAAATATGTTCTATAAAATGGTTATTAAGACATGAAAATTTTATTTTGATTTTATGTGACATGAAAATTTGGTTTATTTTGTTAAAACTAGGCACTATTTAAGCTTATTGAGCTATCGTGCCTCGCGCCTGAGCGGCAAATGTCATAATATATTATAATATAATCGCAAAACAGTATGAGTAATCACTAGTAGATACTCACAGGCTCTACTTCATCAGCAGGTTTTGGTTCTTCCCTGACGGTGTTGGCCCGTGCTAGTTCCTCAGTTAAGTACGCGTTTGTGTGTTGTGTCACGAGGAGATGCGATAGAATGTCCGTGCCTGCAGTAATATTATATTAGAACAACAACGTTTTTCATACAGAATTACAAATATTTACGAACTGTATACAATTTTTGCGTCGTGAAAATAAAATCTGTTAATACTACATACTTGTTTAATTTAAGGATGCCATCTGGGGATTAAAATATTAATATTTTATTAGTTACTATAGTCATTGGGTATTTGTATATTTTATATTGATTTATATATGCTGCTGGTCTAACAGTTACATAGTTAGTTATAAAATTTATAAAAGAAAATGAAAATATATTATATTGATTGATATCCTATAACCAGTGTAAACTGACTTATGTCTGTAGAGTATTCGCAGATGCAGTATAGCGTGGGAGCGGGTCTAGGAGCGGCCTCCAGTGAAAGTGAGCCGGCGCAATATCCACTGTGTCTCAACATCGCTCGGTAACATGATGTAGCATATGGACACTTGCTGCGCGACGTGCGACCGCTGTATATTGAGAATATTAAAATTATACTTTAGTATGTATTAAACATTTGGTATATTATTTGTCTAATCTTTCTTCATTAGAAAATATAGAAATATTAAAAAGATGATATCACAATATAGTAAGGGCTACTAAAATAACATTTTTTTTTTGTAAAAGTTAATGATTGTTTTCAACACGATAAAGGAAAAACTACGTCTCTTTACTGACATTCAATAAATCTGATTGTATTCAATGTTTGCAGCGTCGTTTTATCAAGTGGTTATACTAACAGGAAGTGTTTGTCACTGTCAAGCGGCGTGTCACACTCGCGACACAGAAGACCCTCTTGTATGACCAACGTGACACCTTCATACGTGTCGCTGATGGCGTGACACGCGACGTCCTTGATGGGAGGGCGGGCTTTGTTCTGAAAATAATATATTATTATGTAATTGCAGTTTGTTAATTGTAGATAAATAAGTAGCAGTATATACAAGTAGCAGTAGAGTTATATGACGTACATATCTTGGGCAGGTTAATCAAGTGCTCAGTAGAACACAGAGGTAGAACCTCCTCGAACGGGTTGTGGTCTCGAATCTGATGCTCTTTCAGTTGATCTGAAAAATATTATACGTATCAATGTGTGTATTGAACTCATTTTATTGTAAATGAAACTAATATTTTTCGGATATACTACGCGACTTGATTTTTGATAAAAACTCCCGACGCTGACGCTTGGTTGCTAACAAGTAACCGAAACGTCGGATGTATATATAATAGTTTTTTAAAATAATAAAATACGCGAAACAGTCCGAAAATATTAGTTTCATCTGTTTGTATTATAGTACTTACAGTTGTATTATTCACCGAGACGTACGAATCTCAGCACACATCTCGTACATTTAATCTCCAGCTCCTTGTCCTGGTGTTGTTTGAGATGATCCATGTAGAAGAGCACGTTGGCCGTCAGCTCACAGCCTTCAGCGTACACTGGAATCATCTGAAGACAGATATACGATGATTTTAATTTCTTCTACGTAGTATACTATTTGATGTGACCTCTTAAAATTAATATTGAAACTGAAATAAATGAATTCCTCCTTACGAAACGCATGTTTATTTAAGCCGTTTTTCAAATTACTTTAAGAGTTTTGAATAAAGAGCAAATATGTTCTATAAAATGGTTATTAAGACATGAAAATTTTATTTTGATTTTATGTGACATGAAAATTTGGTTTATTTTGTTAAAACTAGGCACTACTTAAGCTTATTGAGCTATCGTGCCTCGCGCCTGAGCGGCAAATGTCATAATATATTATAATATAATCGCAAAACAGTATGAGTAATCACTAGTAGATACTCACAGGCTCTACTTCATCAGCAGGTTTTGGTTCTTCCCTGACGGTGTTGGCCCGTGCTAGTTCCTCAGTTAAGTACGCGTTTGTGTGTTGTGTCACGAGGAGATGCGATAGAATGTCCGTGCCTGCAGTAATATTATATTAGAACAACAACGTTTTTCATACAGAATTGCAAATATTTACGAACTGTATACAATTTTTGCGTCGTGAAAATAAAATCTGTTAATACTACATACTTGTTTAATTTAACGATGCCATCTGGGGATTAAAATATTAATATTTTATTAGTTACTATAGTCATTGGGTATTTGTATATTTTATATTGATTTATATATGCTGCTGGTCTAACAGTTACATAGTTAGTTATAAAATTTATAAAAGAAAATGAAAATATATTATATTGATTGATATCCTATAACCAGTGTAAACTGACTTATGTCTGTAGAGTATTCGCAGATGCAGTATAGCGTGGGAGCGGGTCTAGGAGCGGCCTCCAGTGAAAGTGAGCCGGCGCAATATCCACTGTGTCTCAACATCGCTCGGTAACATGATGTAGCATATGGACACTTGCTGCGCGACGTGCGACCGCTGTATATTGAGAATATTAAAATTATACTTTAGTATGTATTAAACATTTGGTATATTATTTGTCTAATCTTTCTTCATTAGAAAATATAGAAATATTAAAAAGATGATATCACAATATAGTAAGGGCTACTAAAATAACATTTTTTTTTTGTAAAAGTTAATGATTGTTTTCAACACGATAAAGGAAAAACTACGTCTCTTTACTGACATTCAATAAATCTGATTGTATTCAATGTTTGCAGCGTCGTTTTATCAAGTGGTTATACTAACAGGAAGTGTTTGTCACTGTCAAGCGGCGTGTCACACTCGCGACACAGAAGACCCTCTTGTATGACCAACGTGACACCTTCATACGTGTCGCTGATGGCGTGACACGCGACGTCCTTGATGGGAGGGCGGGCTTTGTTCTGAAAATAATATATTATTATGTAATTGCAGTTTGTTAATTGTAGATAAATAAGTAGCAGTATATACAAGTAGCAGTAGAGTTATATGACGTACATATCTTGGGCAGGTTAATCAAGTGCTCAGTAGAACACAGAGGTAGAACCTCCTCGAACGGGTTGTGGTCTCGAATCTGATGCTCTTTCAGTTGATCTGAAAAATATTATACGTATCAATGTGTGTATTGAACTCATTTTATTGTAAATGAAACTAATATTTTTCGGATATACTACGCGACTTGATTTTTGATAAAAACTCCCGACGCTGACGCTTGGTTGCTAACAAGTAACCGAAACGTCGGATGTATATATAATAGTTTTTAAAATAATAAAATACGCGAAACAGTCCGAAAATATTAGTTTCATCTGTTTGTATTATAGTACTTACAGTTGTATTATTCACCGAGACGTACGAATCTCAGCACACATCTCGTACATTTAATCTCCAGCTCCTTGTCCTGGTGTTGTTTGAGATGATCCATGTAGAAGAGCACGTTGGCCGTCAGCTCACAGCCTTCAGCGTACACTGGAATCATCTGAAGACAGATATACGATGATTTTAATTTCTTCTACGTAGTATACTATTTGATGTGATAGCTTTTTGAACGATCTTAACAAGGTAGATAGCCAACTGATAAGTAACGTCAAAAAAGCGTGGATCTACGAGAATTACTTAACTTCACGTTTGAATTGGCCTTTCCTCGTCTATGATTTTAATAAAACCCTTTTGTCAAAGTTAGATGCAGGCGTCATAAAGATGTTGAAGTTGTGGCTCGGGCTCGCTCTAACGGCTGATTCATCGGCGTTATTTAGGGGAAGCAATAGTTTTGGGATGAGTCTAAAAAGGCCATCGGAGCTCTATAAACACCTAAGAGTTTCCAAGAGATACATCCTGGGGAAATCCCATGATGACATAGTGACATCGCTCCCAAAAGGTGAAGATGCCCCCGAGCTAGAGTCACGACTTCAATTCCATAAGCAATTTATGATAGGAGCGCAAAGTAACAGAGCGGGGTTAGGATCAAATAGGAAAGTCCAAGATGCGGATATATTGAAGTCTTTTATTCGGCAAGACGAGAATGATAAATATAAGATCCATGCAATGAATTTAGAAATGCAGAACGAGTGGTTAGACATAGGAGATTTTTGCATCCCATTGGCATTAAAATGGCGCACTTTAATTTATGATTGGTCGCCAGCATTGCTAAAATTCTATCTCAATGCGTTCCAGATGACTCTCCCAGATCAGAGTAATTTAGTAAGATGGGGTAAAAGTACCGAAAAAACTTGCTATATCTGTGGAAAGGCAGTTGGAACTGCTAAGCATCTGCTAGTGGGATGTAAGGTACTCCTTGACAGCGGTCAATACTCGCGTCGTCACGATAGGGTTCTAGAAGTCATACGTGAAGCGGTTAGTCTTTCGGTAGCCAGAGCGCAAAAGGGAATAACCACAAACGAACGATCAGTAGGTTTTGTGAGAGAAGGCTCTAGGGCTACAAAATCAAACGTCAAGCCTTACTCCATCCTTAAAGCGGCGTCGGATTGGACTATAATGATGGACACGTAAAAAAAACAATATAAAATCCCCGAGGATATTTGTGCGTCGGCCTCCAGACCGGATATATTTTTGTTTTCGCGAATTTTAAAGCGCGTAGTGATGATAGAGCTTACGGTCCCTTGGGAAACCAACATCCCCAAAGACCATACCATCAAGGTCAATAAATATTACGAGCTCACAAACGAACTCACTCGAAATAGGTTCGTAGTAGATTTGTACGCGGTAGAGGTGGGAGCGAGAGGTATAACAGCGAAATCTCTCTATAACCTACTAAAGGACTTGGGCTTGTCCAGAACTCACATTAATGCATTCTTGGAACGTACATCGAAGGCAGCCCTAGTAGGTTCTTTTCAAATTTGGTTAGGTAGGGAGAGGAGCTTGGACAGTGGAGGTGAGCGTATAACGCGCGTTAGTTAAGGGGCCCCTTAAACCTACACTTGGGTCGCAAGTCCCAGGCACTGTTGAAGCTCCTCCCCCTGCAACGCGATGGACCCGGCACCCGCACGGTGAATCCATGGAATGCTGAGAAGTTTCGTCTTAAAATTAATATTGAAACTGAAATAAATGAATTCCTCCTTACGAAACGCATGTTTATTTAAGCCGTTTTTCAAATTACTTTAAGAGTTTTGAATAAAGAGCAAATATGTTCTATAAAATGGTTATTAAGACATGAAAATTTTATTTTGATTTTATGTGACATGAAAATTTGGTTTATTTTGTTAAAACTAGGCACTATTTAAGCTTATTGAGCTATCGTGCCTCGCGCCTGAGCGGCAAATGTCATAATATATTATAATATAATCGCAAAACAGTATGAGTAATCACTAGTAGATACTCACAGGCTCTACTTCATCAGCAGGTTTTGGTTCTTCCCTGACGGTGTTGGCCCGTGCTAGTTCCTCAGTTAAGTACGCGTTTGTGTGTTGTGTCACGAGGAGATGCGATAGAATGTCCGTGCCTGCAGTAATATTATATTAGAACAACAACGTTTTTCATACAGAATTACAAATATTTACGAACTGTATACAATTTTTGCGTCGTGAAAATAAAATCTGTTAATACTACATACTTGTTTAATTTAACGATGCCATCTGGGGATTAAAATATTAATATTTTATTAGTTACTATAGTCATTGGGTATTTGTATATTTTATATTGATTTATATATGCTGCTGGTCTAACAGTTACATAGTTAGTTATAAAATTTATAAAAGAAAATGAAAATATATTATATTGATTGATATCCTATAACCAGTGTAAACTGACTTATGTCTGTAGAGTATTCGCAGATGCAGTATAGCGTGGGAGCGGGTCTAGGAGCGGCCTCCAGTGAAAGTGAGCCGGCGCAATATCCACTGTGTCTCAACATCGCTCGGTAACATGATGTAGCATATGGACACTTGCTGCGCGACGTGCGACCGCTGTATATTGAGAATATTAAAATTATACTTTAGTATGTATCAAACATTTGGTATATTATTTGTCTAATCTTTCTTCATTAGAAAATATAGAAATATTAAAAAGATGATATCACAATATAGTAAGGGCTACTAAAATAACATTTTTTTTTGTAAAAGTTAATGATTGTTTTCAACACGATAAAGGAAAAACTACGTCTCTTTACTGACATTCAATAAATCTGATTGTATTCAATGTTTGCAGCGTCGTTTTATCAAGTGGTTATACTAACAGGAAGTGTTTGTCACTGTCAAGCGGCGTGTCACACTCGCGACACAGAAGACCCTCTTGTATGACCAACGTGACACCTTAATACGTGTCGCTGATGGCGTGACACGCGACGTCCTTGATGGGAGGGCGGGCTTTGTTCTGAAAATAATATATTATTATGTAATTGCAGTTTGTTAATTGTAGATAAATAAGTAGCAGTATATACAAGTAGCAGTAGAGTTATATGACGTACATATCTTGGGCAGGTTAATCAAGTGCTCAGTAGAACACAGAGGTAGAACCTCCTCGAACGGGTTGTGGTCTCGAATCTGATGCTCTTTCAGTTGATCTGAAAAATATTATACGTATCAATGTGTGTATTGAACTCATTTTATTGTAAATGAAACTAATATTTTTCGGATATACTACGCGACTTGATTTTTGATAAAAACTCCCGACGCTGACGCTTGGTTGCTAACAAGTAACCGAAACGTCGGATGTATATATAATAGTTTTTAAAATAATAAAATACGCGAAACAGTCCGAAAATATTAGTTTCATCTGTTTGTATTATAGTACTTACAGTTGTATTATTCACCGAGACGTACGAATCTCAGCACACATCTCGTACATTTAATCTCCAGCTCCTTGTCCTGGTGTTGTTTGAGATGATCCATGTAGAAGAGCACGTTGGCCGTCAGCTCACAGCCTTCAGCGTACACTGGAATCATCTGAAGACAGATATACGATGATTTTAATTTCTTCTACGTAGTATACTATTTGATGTGACCTCTTAAAATTAATATTGAAACTGAAATAAATGAATTCCTCCTTACGAAACGCATGTTTATTTAAGCCGTTTTTCAAATTACTTTAAGAGTTTTGAATAAAGAGCAAATATGTTCTATAAAATGGTTATTAAGACATGAAAATTTTATTTTGATTTTATGTGACATGAAAATTTGGTTTATTTTGTTAAAACTAGGCACTATTTAAGCTTATTGAGCTATCGTGCCTCGCGCCTGAGCGGCAAATGTCATAATATATTATAATATAATCGCAAAACAGTATGAGTAATCACTAGTAGATACTCACAGGCTCTACTTCATCAGCAGGTTTTGGTTCTTCCCTGACGGTGTTGGCCCGTGCTAGTTCCTCAGTTAAGTACGCGTTTGTGTGTTGTGTCACGAGGAGATGCGATAGAATGTCCGTGCCTGCAGTAATATTATATTAGAACAACAACGTTTTTCATACAGAATTACAAATATTTACGAACTGTATACAATTTTTGCGTCGTGAAAATAAAATCTGTTAATACTACATACTTGTTTAATTTAACGATGCCATCTGGGGATTAAAATATTAATATTTTATTAGTTACTATAGTCATTGGGTATTTGTATATTTTATATTGATTTATATATGCTGCTGGTCTAACAGTTACATAGTTAGTTATAAAATTTATAAAAGAAAATGAAAATATATTATATTGATTGATATCCTATAACCAGTGTAAACTGACTTATGTCTGTAGAGTATTCGCAGATGCAGTATAGCGTGGGAGCGGGTCTAGGAGCGGCCTCCAGTGAAAGTGAGCCGGCGCAATATCCACTGTGTCTCAACATCGCTCGGTAACATGATGTAGCATATGGACACTTTGCTGCGCGACGTGCGACCGCTGTATATTGAGAATATTAAAATTATACTTTAGTATGTATTAAACATTTGGTATATTATTTGTCTAATCTTTCTTCATTAGAAAATATAGAAATATTAAAAAGATGATATCACAATATAGTAAGGGCTACTAAAATAACATTTTTTTTTTGTAAAAGTTAATGATTGTTTTCAACACGATAAAGGAAAAACTACGTCTCTTTACTGACATTCAATAAATCTGATTGTATTCAATGTTTGCAGCGTCGTTTTATCAAGTGGTTATACTAACAGGAAGTGTTTGTCACTGTCCAGCGGCGTGTCACACTCGCGACATAGAAGACCCTCTTGTATGACCAACGTGACACCTTCATACGTGTCGCTGATGGCGTGACACGCGACGTCCTTGATGGGAGGGCGGACTTTGTTCTGAAAATAATATATTATTATATAATTTCAGTTTGTTAATTGTAGATAAATTTGATATACATGCAAGGAGTAGTATACAACATGTAACATAATTAACGCACACCCTGAAAGTGATTTGTTCACAATCGGAATCTGGATCGATTTTGATAGTTTTTTATGTACCTAGGTCATTTTTTTTCTCAACTTTAGATAGAACTAAGTAAATTACAGTCATCCTACACACAGTTATCTAAACACTTCACAGAAAAGAAAATGGATCGTAAGTCAAGGTATTAAGATTATTAAATTAAAATATTAATTAGTAATCATCATTCAATTAAAGAAACTGATACTTATTTCAAGGCTAAAATAGTATTTTACAAATACCTACGCTCGCACAGCGACAGCCGGCACACATCAAATACCTACGCACGTGTCCATTGACCTCCTAGATCAGCTGTTTTGACGCCACTCGACTTTTTTTTTGTAGGGTTGAATTAAATAGCTAGTTTATAACACAAAGACAACAAGTGCCGAGGAACTAAAAAATAAGATAATAACCGCCTTTGTAAAAGTGAAAAGTGACACTACAGTATTATCTAAAATAAAAGCATAATTGCGAAAACGGTCATTAAAGTGCATTGAATAAGGCGGTGGACATTTTGAAAGTGTTTTAAAACGACAACGCCGTGCGAGTGCAAATTAAACTATAAGTTTGTTTATGATCTTTAAATTATTGTTAACATTTTGATTCACACCATTTAAACACGCCGACTTTGTCGTAGGTATTGTGGTGTCTAATCAAATCACGCGTTATCATCTGTTTAATAATTCTTATTTACAAATTTAATTTAACAAATCAGTAATTATAAAATATTGGCTTCACAAAAAAATTCAATGTCGACAATCTTAAGCCTGAAAAGTGTGATGGAAAGAAGAATCATAAATCATAATGTAGTTATTTCGTGTACTTATTATTGTCGGACGGCACTCGGAGAGAGAGGCGCGGGCGCGGCGAGTACATTGTGTCTGTCCGTGTGTGCGTGTGCAGCAGAGTGTTGGTGAATAGCTGACCATATTATTTCCACGAAATTAGGATAACTAATTTCACAAATAAACAATGCTAACGCACATATAAATAATATTTGGTGTATGCATTGCGTTTATATTATTATACTCTAATTGGGGTGTTTGAGGGTGTGCGTTTATTATGTTACATGTTGTATAAAAGTAGCAGTAGAGAAATATGACGTACATACCTTGGGCAGGTTAATCAAGTGCTCAGTAGAACACAGAGGTAGAACCTCCTCGAACGGGTTGTGGTCTCGAATCTGATGCTCTTTCAGTTGACCTGAAAAATATTATAGGTATTAATGTGTGTATTGAACTCATTTTATTGTAAATGAAACTAATAGTTTTCGGATATACTACGCTACTTGATTTTTGATAAAAACTACATACTCCCGACGTTTCGGCTACTTTTCAGCAACCGTCATCACGGACAGACGAGATGTGAGCGTTTATTTTGATTGTATAATGAGACTAGTAAACCCGGCGAACTCCGTTTCGCCACCAGGCTTTGTTTTATGTAATATTTCGTTCGGTGATTAAAAGATGACTAATTTTTGTATTGTTTTATATTAGAAAACGAAAATTTTAATATCGTTTCACAAGAGTAATGAATTCATTTCGATTACAAAAATGTAGTGTTATTTAGTTGAACTTCTCTAAGTAAATAAAAGTGAATCAAAAGTAGATACCGAATCGAAGCGTTATACGTGTCCGCAAATTATTCGTTTCATTGAAGTGCTCCTTTGTAAACCACATTTTTTGTTTTTTGATCTAACGTTAACACAAATAAAGCGGATGGTTTCCGAACTCCTGAACACGCAAACAATGATTTTTTAAATTTATCCCGCAAATACTAAATGGTTTTAAGAGTTTAAACTACAAACACAATACCGGTTTGTCACATGAAATTAACTGAGCAGAGAACAATGAGTAGCCTTCAAACAATGTATCATACACCGGCACCATCTACTTAAAATATTGATTTGTAGTACTGTTACGTATCAGAGATGGCGCTGTATGTGAAAAAAAGATTGTCCCGCTTTTCTGTTGAAAATTTTCCTGAATTTTTTTTGTTATAAACCTCACGGAGTCAGAGACCTTTCCAACGAATGCAAACCCCTGGAAATCGGTTCGGTCGTTCTGGAGTTGCATCAGGAAGAAAGAACTGCCTTATTTTTATATAGTAGATTTAAGACTTGCGAGTATTAATTTAAATGAAAGTCATATTTTCGGAATACTTTGCGTATTTTATTATTTTTAAAAACACCACACTCCCGACAACTCGTCTGCCTTTATCATGGTTGCTGACAAGTAACCGAAAGGTCGGGTGTATATATAATAGTTTTTAAATAATAAAGTACGCGAAACAATCCGAAAATATTAGTTTCATCTGTTTATATAGTACTTACAATCTCAGCACACATCTCGTACATTTAATCTCCAGCTCCTTGTCCTGGTGTTGTTTGAGATGATCCATGTAGAAGAGCACGTTGGCCGTCAGCTCACAGCCTTCAGCGTACACTGGAATCATCTGAAGACAGATATACGATGATTTTAATTTCTTCTACGTAGTATACTACTTGATGTGACCTCTTAAAATTAATATTGAAACTGAAATAAATGAATTCCTCCTTACGAAACGCATGTTTATTTAAGCCGTTTTTAAATTACTTTAAGAGTTTTGAATAAAGAGCAAATATGTTCTATAAAATTGTTATTAAGACATGAAAATTTTATTTTGATTTTATGTGACATGAAAATTTAGTTTATTTTGTTAAAATTAGGCACTATTTAAGCTTATTGAGCTATCGTGCCTCGCGCCTGAGCGGCAAATGTAATGTTATAATATAATCGCAAAACAGTATGAGTAATCACTAGTAGATACTCACAGGCTCTACTTCATCAGCAGGTTTTGGTTCTTCCCTGACGGTGTTGGCCCGTGCTAGTTCCTCAGT